AGACAGAGACAGAGACAGAGACAGAGACAGAGACAGAGACAGAGACAGAGACAGAGACAGAGACAGAGACAGAGACAGAGACAGAGACAGAGACAGAGACAGAGACAGAGACAGAGACAGAGACGGAGACAGAGACAGAGACAGAGACAGAGACAGAGACAGAGACAGAGACAGAGACAGAGACAGAGACAGAAAGATAAAGAGAAAGAGAGAAACATCTGCTGGTTCACCTCGCGCCGAAAGTGGAGAATGGCAAGTCACAAGTGGTGTAATGTCGAGTCTCGCCTTGCGCAGCACTGCAGCTGCCAGTGGATCCGGGGCCCTTATTGACAGCACAAAACTTGAGCTGTCACTGCTGTACAGGTAGCTCAACCGTTACGCAACATTCGAAATTAGGACTTGCCTTCTACCCGGAACAGAAGCGGGCACCGTGACAAGGACCCTAAGAGGAACCCGCCCACGTGATACTGAACAGATGCAGACCCTTTAACAAAAGAGCATGACGACTCAGCCATGTCTACTCCATAATCACATGCCAGAAGTTCGGTGATGGCTCAGGACAAAGGACCACGAATCAAACACGAGACCAGGGTCCCACCATGACAAGACATATCTCCCTTGAATGACTAAAACCTAGCTTCTACAAGGCCCAAAGGCAAGCACTGGCCCGGCTCTGCAGCCAAGCTTGGCGCGAGCCTCCGGGGGAAACAGGAACCCTCCACTGAGCTGTCGAAGTCAAGGCTCTCGATGATTTGAGTTTGCAATCACCATGGTATTCAGGCTGGTTTGGCGGGATTTATGCAGGGCTTCCGCTTCGCAGGCTTCTGACCGATTCACACTGGGTTCTCGATCATGCAGGGACAATCCAAGCGCGACAAGTTCCTGAAAACCCAAACCTTAAACTGCGCGGGGCAGCGACGGCTCTGCAGGGGACGTTTCGTCCATTTGTTGCTGCAACTGTCGTCTGCAGTACTTTTAAAGACGTGTGAAAAGAGGTAAGGGCCATGTCGAACACAGGCAAGCTGGAGAGCAACTGCACTTGCAACTCTGACCTGTCACAGGTTTAGGCAGCAGTTGAAGGAAGACTGTAGTGACCAGGGCTTCAGGAGCACGCTCACTGAAGTTGAAGGGAATGCCGCCGCTCACTGCTAAGGTGTAGTTGCGCACGCTGTGTGAAAGTTTACGTCTAGTCGCAAGTTGCGATGAGAGGGCTTGCTTTTCTTACGGGCTCTTGTTTTCGACTGGTTACTTGAAACCTGTTGCTATGGGACGGCCATGTGATGACACTCGTGACTTCTATGGTGATGACAATAGTCGGGTCTGTGTAGTACGCTGTGCACGAGCATCTGTACTACTAAGTAACTACCACCATGATCTGTTGCAGGAGTTCCTCTGAACCTGTTCTGACATTTCTAGCGCGACAACTATTATCATGACTACTTGGTGTGGTGAAACTTGTTGGCCCACGACGGCCACCTCTAAGCCCGCCATGTCATACTACGACCATCGCAACAAAAGGCAACATATTGAATTAACTACTCTCACTACCCATCTTCTCCTGGTGCTTGTCGAATGCATTCCTGGCCTCACACGATCATCGCTGCTAGTATTAGTAGCAGTTCGATGCCGTGTTGACAATTGCCTTTCCTCTCCTCTTATTGCCCCGGCTACTTCTAGCAAGGTCGCTGTCATTGTCGTCACTGCGGCTCTACGCCCCTACTCCCGGGTGAGACCTCAGGACAGCCAGCAAGAGGCCACGCAGCTCAGGCGGAAGTGCCTGACCTGCACTGGGAGCGGCTCAGGGCTTCCGCAGCATTTCTGCTAAGAAGGGGCTTTCCGTTCAAACTGCTCTCTTCATGCCACCCATGTTATTGCTAATAATGGCACTATCTTAGTCATAATGTTGTTAAGTCAAGCGCTACGCATTCGCTGTGTGGTGTTCAGTCCTCACGTGCTACAGGTGCTACAGATGCATATGCCGCCAGAGTGGGTGGAAGTTCAGCTTCTTGATCGAGCGCCCAGTTGGCAAAAGCGGATTCGAAACCGCACACCTCAGGCCCCACTTCGAAACCCTGCATACGTGTGTATGTATGTGTATATATATATATATACGTCTATATACATGGTCACCCCCTCCTCTTGATATTTGCAAACAAAACCCTAAACCCGAAGAGTCATGCTAACCTAAGAGCCGCGACTTCAAGTCGCCAGTCGTGTTGACCCGGGAGGCTCACAACAAGTGCCCAAGACCTTCAGTAAAGCTTATTCGGCCACAGTAAGGACCTTTTGATAGCGGGGATACCAGGGGCCTAAGTGCAGACGGACTTTTCAACTAGCTCATTCAGCTTGGTCTCAAGACGTCTACGGTCAGAAGATACATTTGCGTTCAAACAAAAGGCATGTGTGATTTCACTAGCATGCTAATTCAAGTACTACATACAGGTACCGTAAAAGGGAACGTCAACACGGTCATACAGAACAGAGCAGGATTTCTCAGACCTAAACATACACTCCGGAAGGCAACACTCATATACCGGAGAAACTGCTAGGTTTCAACTATTTGCATTCGTTGCCTCGTGCCAGCAAAGAGTGCGACATAGTCCGACGCTTCTTCGCTCAAAGGCCTGCAGCCTGTTTTCCTGCGGGAAGAAGTGACAGACCCGAACCAGCACATCAGCTGGATATTCTAAACAACAACCAAGCCGTAAAGTCCTAAACCCTTAAAGCCCCAATTAAACCCTAAAGTCCCAACGCCTACGGCGATGATCTTCCGCCGGCTAGGGGCGAGTGCTCGAAGCCGATCAGCCAAGGCCTCGTCCGCGCGGCATCGGGGTAATCTATGGGCCTCAGGAAAAAAACATGTATGTATATATATATATATATTTATTTATTTATTTATTTATTTATTTATATTTATTATATTATATATATATATATATGAGATAGATACAAAGAAAGACAGATAAACAGATAGATAGATAGATAGATCTGATAGGAGCTGGGAGATATTCTCAAGTACAATAACTATAATAGTGTAGGGTTTAGGAGCTGCGGGCTACGAGCTATTATCAAGTACAGTAGCATAACTGCACAGCCCCAAGAATCCAGAAGCCGGGAGATAATATGAATTTGCCATCGTTATGTAGGGAATATCAAGGGGATACACATACTAACTGCTCAGACTCCTACATTATCAGGGCTGACAAGGTTTCACGGAAGCCTCCAACCCGAAGCTGTAGTGATCCAGAATGAAAGCAATGCGGGAATAAGCTTACGCAACACGGTCCGTGTTTGCCGTTTCGACGTTAGCATACTGCACGATGTCTGGCGTTCGCGGGATCCGCGCATTCGGCCATCATTCAGCCGCATCGCAGATCTCGGAAATCCACAAGCTTGAGAACGTGGAGAAACATTATTACAGATCATGGTTAGTACTATCAGTATTGGACTCTCTCAACTCCAATACCTGACCTGGGGTTTTGGGGTATCTGATATTCTGCTCTCATGAGGGGGCTGTACGTAAATATTGCTTACAATAAGCTGGTTCAGACAAATCCCCACACTTGCTGGCGCCCTTTGCCTGGCTCTGCTGTCGCAGATCATCCTCTTCCTCAATGAAGCTATCTACATGGATCTATGGAGGTGCAGGGATGGTAAGTATGAGGTGTTGGGGGCATACGGCTCCTTATGGACTTACGTAAGTAGGTGGGTAGGCAGGTCGGTAGGCAGACAAGCTGGTAGCTTAGGTATGTAGGCAAGCATGCATGTACGGGTGTGTCCTTAGAAAGAGAGAGATAGAGAGAGAGAGAGACAGAGAGAGAGAGAGAGTGAAAAAGACAGGGGCGCGCATACTTACGGAGATGATGCTTAGGAACCTTGTTGCTCTTGGTGTTTGGGAGCTTCGAGGCCGCTGATCTACAGCCTTTACACTTGGGGCCGGAGCTTAGACACTCAAAGGGCAGCTCTGAGACGCCATGGGCTTGTCTCTCGATCCAACATCACAGAGTGTTTTTTTGGTTGTTTCTACATACATGTTTCTGTCGGCCCTTTTCTGCTCTGCATTGCTGCATCACAGAATGTCTTCAGCTTAGGGCTTTTAAATGATTTTAAGTTTTCAAGGCTTGATGCCGCTGAAGTTGTCTTCGGCGCAAACGGGGGGCTTTGATGCTATTGTAAAAAGCTTTATGTTTACTTGGCAGTTCCATCCTTCGAATTGTTGGGTAAGTGCTCTCATGCACCCGTGAGCCTAAGGGACTGTGCAAGGTTTTTTTGACTTGCAATACCTCCATCGACAAAAGCCCTAGCATTGTCCAGGCTACCTAAGATCTTCAAATAGGATCTGATAAGAACGGAGCTACCAAATAAGGAAGGATCAAGCACCCTGTAGATTGGATGAATTACCTACTGGAGCAGACAGTCTCCCCTGCGCGCGCCTCCAACGCTGCGACGGCCACATGCCGCGCGATCCCGGCCAATGCAGCGGCAGCTGCCGCAGCATCCTTTCACAGGTTGGCGCTGTAACGCTGGACTTCCCATGGACGGAAAATTCTGGGAATACAGCAATAGGAGCAGACTTACCAAATGTGCTCGGGCGCTCGTTGGCCATGCAGCCATGTGCCACCGTGTGCGCGCATTCGTGTCGGCTTGCGCATGTGTGCATGTACAAATGTATGTATGAGCTTTTGTATGTGTGAATGCATGTTCTGCATGAGTATGCACCTATCATATAATGTACTTGTGTATTTGATGCATGTAGGTATGCACGTAAACATGCACATGTGTGTGTATGTATGCGTGAGTATGTGTATGTGGTCTTTGTATGATAAGTTATGCATACGTATATGTATGTGCGTGTGTGTATGTACGTATGTACGTATGTACGTATGTACGTACGTACATACGTAGCATATGTATCTAATGTAAGTATGTACGTATGCATAAGCATGTGAGTATGTATGCAAGTATGTAAGTAACAAAGTAAGTAAGTATGTATGTATAAGTACATGTATGTACGCACATACCTGCATGCACTTACACATGCATATGTACGTGTGCAAGCATGCATGTATGTGTACGCGTATTTGTATGTAGTTGTGTATGTGGTCTGTGTATGTGGATGATAAGTTTATGCAAACGTATATGTATATGTGTATGTACACCTGTACGTATGTAATGTATGTATGTATGTATGTATGTATGCATGCATGCATGTATGTATGTATGTATGTATGTATGTATGATTGTATGATTGTATGTAGGTATATATGTATGTATGTATGTATGTA